CTCTTCACTGTTGATGGGGACTTTGATTCACCGGGTCAAGGTAGTGTTCATCAGATTTCTCCACTGCACACTTATTCTTTCCCTCTACTTTCCACACTCCTCTCTTTGGAGGAATGTTGCTCTCCCCAGCTCACACTTGTGGAGTGGGGGTTTAATCTTCTCACTCTTCGAGGGTAGAGTATCTAAATAAACTACTTGGAATTCTGCATGGAATATTTGTCTCTTCTCCCCCATTTATTTATTTAATCATTTATTTATATCAAGATAGACTCAGGGACTTTTATGTTTTATGTTATAATCCTATACTACTTTATTTTGTTGCTTACATTTTTCCAGAGGGAACAATTTGGCCTTCAAAAGTTGCTGCTATTGGTTCCTGTGTTCTTGTGAGGTACACCCATCACGGTGTGGTGTGATTTTTGGTTTTGTTTTCACTCCTTTTTTGCTTTTTGTGCCTCCTCTTCCCTCCTCCCCACCCCTCATACATACACAAAGGGCCACATGCTACTATTATTTCTGGAATCTCAGCCATATTCTTCTTTTTTTTTTTTTTTTTAAATAAAAATCACGGTAGAGCAGTAGGCAGTGTGGGTGAGTTTTCCCACTTTACATTTTACTTAGCATAATTTAGGCCCCTTTCAGGCCCCTTTTCCTCCAGAGCCCCAGGTATGTTTGCTACCATACCTCCCCAGGGGATAGCCCTCCAAACCTGCTTGGCCACATAGCCAGGTCTTTAAGTCCCAAAGGGAGGCCATCACAAACTACTCAGCACAGAGAAGACCCAAATCCTAATCTTGGCTCAACCCCAAACTCGGATAATTCATTTTTACCTATGTCCTCTCTACACCATGGTTTCTTCACTTTATGACAAGGGGTTTGCCGTGGCTGGTCTCCAAGGCCCCTTCCAACCTTGACATTCTATGATTCTGTAAGTCTTTGAATAATGGCCCACGATGCCAACAAGAAGTAACCAATGAGACTTTGGGTGTTCTGTTGGAAATCTTGGTAAAATCACAGAGAGAAGGAGATGAAAAAGAAGAGGAAAAACTGGACTTATAAATAGGAAGACAAAGAATGAATGTGAACTGGGGAGAGAAGAGTCATTGACAGGGACAAGAAATAAATAACTTTGATGCTAATACTGGGAAAATTCTGGAACAACATGGAGGTACCTCTGTTAACTCCATTTCATTTTGGAAAAGTCTACGAGACAAAAGGTGCAAAGCAGAGTATGCAGTGATTTCAGGTGTGTTGGACTCTGACAAGATGATGCCAACTTGGACAACGTCAGTCAACATCAAATGTCTGGATCAAGAGAGGCAAGAATCCCATGGATTTGGCATTGGCCAGAACTTGTCTGGAATCTTGTTTTCTGCCTTGAGTGTCACCTGTTGAGAGCTCTGTTGACAAACTGGCATTTATCCTTGGGAGAGTAGCCTCAGGACCAGGGGTGAAGAGGAGTTCAGTAAACTGTGTTTAACCCAAAGAAAGACACACGACGTGTCAGATTTTGTAAGGATTTTCAAGGGGCAGTAGATGGTGGCCCTACAGTGCAATGAACCTTCACACCAAGGATCTGCTTCCTTTGTTGGAGATGTAAAAGCAAAGGCTGGATGCTTGGAATTATCATGGCTGCTGCCTAAGCAATGCTACCTTGAGTAGAAGGTTTGGCCAACTATGGACTAAGGCCTCTCCCTCATGTCACATTGAATGGTGCTAATGTTTCCTGAAGTTTCCCTTTCTTTTCAGTTCAGTGTTTTCAGAATCTCAGCCTTCCAGCAGAATCCCCTTTGTTTGCGCTAAATATACATTCCCAAGCCCTGTGTGGCCATTCTGATATACTAGGTCTGGGGTTAGGGAGTTGTGAGTGCCGAGAATCAGTCTTTCTGTCAAGCTCCCGAGGTGATCTGATACATACATGGAGCTGAGAAGTACCCTCCTAACAGGATTGCCAGCTTCTTAAGGATCAGAACCATATTTTCTTCCTTTTTTTGTATGCCTCCCCATATAAGGATAATTACACAGAATAAGCACTGAGATGCCTGTTGATGGATTTATTCCAGCAAATTTTTTTTTAGCTCTCTTTGTCTGGAACTTTGCAAAATAAACACCATGGTCACCCTATGCTTTGTGAGTGGTGTGCTAGAATGGAATTTCACTGTTTTAAATTCGGGTTTAATTTCTTGCTTTCAAATGAATTATGAAAGGAAGAGGAGAGACCTTTGGAAAAGTCTGAATGTTGATGTCGACGACTAGCCAGGCGCTTCCCTTCCAGCTGGTTTTGTGAGGGATTAAGAGGCCACTGTTGTGAATCTCCCATTAGTGATGGTCCCAGGCCCCCTCCTCATTGTGCATTTATCTTACAAGGGGCATATTTAGGAGATGTTTCCGTTCTATTTTATCTGCAGAATTACTTTCCATTCTCAAGTCTTTTATATAAGTATTCCCTTGAACCCGTTCCAAAAAGTGGATTTTTAACCCAATAGACCATAACTGCAGTGTTTTATCGTGCATACATATTTCAAAATGTGAATGTAAGTAGATTTAGCAAAGTTAAAATAAAATTAAAACTTTTCAGAGGGCACCGCTGCTCGCTTTCCCATGTTGAACTTTTCCCTTTGGGGTTCTTGTGCCATTTAAAACACTCTAAAAATGGGAAGACTTTTCTCTTGGGTATTTTTTTTTCCTCCACAAGGGATGGGGTTCAGAAGATATTGGTGAGGTTAGGAGCCTTTGTCTCCCAGGAGCATACTTGATAGCAATGTAGGATGAATTGCAAATCTGTGAGTTAGTGCCATATATAGCAGTGTTGTTGGTAAGATTTCTCACTGGCATCTCTGCTTCCCCTGTTGACTCTCTTGAAATCCCTTCCTCAGGCAGAAGCTGGAGTCATTTCTCTAAAATAGAAATCTGATCTTGTCACCACCCTACTTGCCACTCCCTGCTTAATCCCTTCCATGGCTCACGATATCTCTTAGGATAAAATAACAAGATCCTTTCCAGGGCCTGCAAGACCCCTGCCAACCTCTGCAGCTTACTTTGTACCACTTTCCCCTAGAACCTGTTACCCACCCTGCTCCTTGCCACAGGGCCTTTGCACTGGCTGTTGTCTTTTGCTAGAGTAGTCTTCCTATCCTGCTTTAGCTAGTCAACTCTTTCTCATCATTTAGGGTTCAAATGCATCATCACTTTCTCTGGGGTGCAGGGGTCTTTTATGTAAGTATTCCTTTGAACTCATTCCAAAAAAGTGGATTTTTAGAAATAGGAAAAAAAATTAGAAATAGAAAGTTAACTGAGTTCCAGTTTTTAGATAATTATCAAAGAAGTAGATTTTTAGAAATAGAGAATTAACTTAGATTACAGAAAATTATCCAGACTCAGTTAATTTTCCCTTTTCCAGCACCTATTTTGGTCCTCCCCACTTCTCTTCCCTGGCTTCTATTTTCTCCTTAGCACTTACTATGTCTCACTCATGTAGACTTGAAGCTCCACATGGGCAGGGATTTTAGTCTATTTCATTGAGAATCTGCCACCAGTCACTGGCCCATAGAGAGTCATCAAAAATAATTGTTGAATGAGTGAATGATGTTGGCATGAAGATTGTGTATTCCTCACCTGACTGTAAGTTTCATGAGGCCAGGCACCAGGGTCCTATTTTGCTCACTGTTGCTGTGTGGGAAGGAGTTAGTACAGCAGCCTGTTGCAAGCTTGGCTCTTGGCTGCATCTGGGAACTTGGATTTTAGGAGGGCTGTCGCCATTCCCAGATCAGATAACGATGGCTCACTGTGTCTAGACTGCTTGTACCAAAAATAGGGCTCATGTGGAATACCTGCTTTCCTTTGTGGAGGCTGGAATTTTGGTACATGCTCCAGAGAGGGTGCCTACATGACCAGCTTCCAATAAAAACTGTGGACACTGAGTCCCTAATACGTTTCCCTGGTAGACAATACTTCATACATCTTTTCATAGCTCATTTCTAGGGGAGTAATTAAATTCCTCCTGTGTGACTTCACTGGAAGAGGCCAGATGGAATCTTGTACCGGGTTTTCTCCAGACTTCGCCTCATTCCCCATTTCCCTGTGCTCATTTTGCCTTGCATCATTTTGCTGTGATAAATCTCAGCCATGAGTGTGACTATATGCTGAGTCCTATGAGTCCTCTTTGTAAACCACCAAACCTGAGCTGGAGTTTCAGTGCCTGACACAGTTGTATTCCTAAGACATAGTTGGGACCAGACCTCAAGAAAATAGCCAACAAATACTGACTGAAAGAATGAAAGAGGCCATGTGCAGTCAGCCCTTCCTCTCTCTGGGTTCTCCATCCGTGGATTTAACTAATGACAGATTAAAAACATTCAAACAAATACACGGAGGGTGGTATCTGTACTGAACACATACAAACTGCTTTTTTTGTCTTTATTCCTTAAACAATCCAACATAACCACTGTTTATATCATGTTTATATTGTACTAGGTATTATAAGTAATCTAGAGATGATTTAAAGTATACGGGAGGATTGCATACATTATATGCAAATACTACACAATTTTATGTCAGGGACTTGAGCATTTGTGGATTTTGGTGTTTGGTGGGGGGTGGGGGTTCCTTGAACCAGTCCCCATTGGATACTGAGGGACAACTAACTATACAGATCACATTTAGTAGTGGACGCAGGTCAGTTGTGCCATCTCATCCACCCCTTCCTCACCCAAGATTCTTCATGGCTTGTGTCAAGGCCTCACCACATCAGAATATTTCTGCCCATGGTTGCTGAGGCAGAGCTGGACAGGTCCAGCATCCACTCCCCAGAAGAGAACTCTAATTGACGCTCATCAAGATATTCCCACTATGGCAAACTGTGGAAGAATTAGGACAGATGTATGACTTGTTTCATATAAAGCTAAATCAGTTTTATTTATGTGATTGTCCTTTATTCTGAGATTATGTTCAACAGATATTCTCAGTGTTAAAATATTCTTTTATTATTTTTTATTTTTCAGATAGATTCTGGCTATGTCACCCAAGGTCTAGCACAGTGGCATGATTTCGGCTCACTGCAGCTTCCTCCTCTCAGGCTCAAGAGATCTTCTTGCCTTAGCCCTCCAGGTAGGGCTACATGTGTGCGCCACCATGCCTGGCTGTTTTTTGTAGGAACAGGGTTTCACCATGTTGCCAAGGCTAGTCTCTAACTCCTGGGCTCAAGCAATTTGCTCACCTGGGTCTTCCAAGGTGTTGGGATTACAGGTGTGAGCCACCACACCCAGCCAAAATATTCTTTTCAAAGTGATTAGAAGTAGAAGAAGCTTGCTCTCTTTTTATTGGCACTTCTGCCTTAGATGCACTTTCGGATTTAAATTATTCCGTCTTTTATGAAATGACAGTGTTTGGAGGTGGTAGATGTTTTTTAAGTCTCCTTACTTGGAAAAACAAAATAAAGTTGACAACCTGATTTCGGACCTCCCAATTCTTTCTAAAAAAAGAGTCTTCTTGGTCCATGAAATCCAGAGGAGGTCAAACTAGCAAATTTGCAAGTAGTTGCTTAATAGATAAACAGTTAAGATCAAGAGTCAGAAATATCTGGGTTGAATTCCAGTTCTGTCATATTAAGTGACAGGTTGCAGAACGACCCCATCTTTCTGAGCTGTTTTTGTATCTCTGTACGACGGGGTTAATACTACTAGTATTTGCTTCCAGGGATTGTTTTGGAGGGGAGTGAGGAATAAATGATATAATTAACTAAAACATGTAGAATAGTATTTGACACAGAGTAGGTCAGCATGCCCTAAGTATTAGAGTCATTATTGAGTTATTCTGCTACCTCTGCATTTGAGTCCTTTCTTTTGGACTTTCCTACTTACGTTGCAGATGTTATTTTTATTTATTTATTTATTTTTTTTGAGACGGAGTCTCGCTCTGTCGCCCAGGCTGGAGTGTAGTGGCGCGATCTCAGCTCACTGCAAGCTCCGCCTCCCGGGTTCACGCCATTCTCCTGCCTCAGCCTCCCGAGTAGCTGGAAGTACAAGCGCCTGCCACCTCACCCAGCTAGTTTTTTGTATTTTTTAGTAGAGACGGGGTTTCACCGTGTTAGCCAGGATGGTCTCGATCTCCTGACCTCGTGATCCACCCATCTTGGCCTCCCAAATTGCTGGGATTACAGGCTTGAGCCATCGCACCCGGCCTAAATGTTATTTTTTTGAAGAGGGTGTAGGCCAAGAAAGGGGTGGGAGAAATGAGGAAGGGGTTGATATAACCCCTTAGTGTCCTCCTCATTACCACAGACCCTCTCTTCCTCCACTTACTTACTTGGCCAATTTTATTTTGTTTTATTTTATTTATTTATTTATTTATTTAGGTAGAGTCTCATTCTGTCTCCCAGGCTGGAGTGCAATGGTGCTATCTCAGCTCACTGCAACCTCTGCCTCACAGATTCAGGTGATTCTCCTGCCTCAGCCTCTCGAGTAGCTGGGATTGCAGACACACGCCACCACGCCCAGCTAATTTTGTATTTTTAGTGGAGTTGGGATTTCTCCATGTTGGTCAGACTGGTCTCGAACTCCTGTCCTCAGGTCATTCGCCTGCCTCAGCCTCCCAAAGTGCTGGGATTATAGGCGTGAGCCCCCGCGCCTGGCCTACTTGGGCAAACTCTTACCTGATCACCTTCTCCACCCCTCCTACATGTAAAAGAAAGGTAGGACCATGTTGGGGAGGGATCGAACATTTATTATCCCCATTTTACAGATGAAGAAGTTAAGGTGGCCAGACATGGTGGCTCACGCCTGTAATCCTAGCACTTTGGGAGGCCGAGATGGGGGATCACTTGAGGTCAGGAGTTCGAGAGCAATCTGGCTAACATGGTGAAACCCCATCTCTACTACAAATACAAAATCAGCCGGGCGTGGTGGCGTGTGCCTCTAATCCCAGTTACTTGGGAAGCTGAGGCAGGAGAATCGCTTGAACCTGGGAGGCAGAGGTTGCAGTGAGCCGAGATCGTGCCCCTGCACTCCAGCCTGGGTGACAGAGCAAGATTCCATCTCAAAACAAAACAAAAGAGAACAAAAAAAGAAGAAGTTAAGGATTGGAGAGCATAAGTATCTTCTGTGGGGATACCCAGCTAGGCAGGGACAGGGCAGGGATTTGAACCTAGGAGCTCTTGGATTGTGATTTTTTATTCACCCCTCCCTCTCCACCCTTCCTGTCTTCAAGCCTTAGCAGGTGAAACTGCATTTTGTACCACATGACTTTAAAACAGAACCACAAGTTCAGAACTTTGGTTAGGTCCCACCTGTGTTCTCTAGCTAACATACAGCAACACCGGTTTCCAACCTTTCATTGTGCGGGTTTCTGATGAGTACGCTGGCAGGCCTCTGGCTTCAGAGATGCCACTACAAAGGTCTCCTCCTTTTCATAAACAGATTGCTGCAAGGCCCGCTTCTCAAGAAAGCAACTTGTGCTACCTCCTGCGTGCTTTTATGCTTCACTGTGAAGTGCAAAGTTGGGCTGGCAGGCCTGGCTTTCTTCTCCGCTTTATGTATGATTCATCAAGAGGACTGCAGGCTTTGGTATGCAGTGCAACCCAGGCTGTGTTCCCAAGTGCATCAAACAGGGATTGGGACCTGTTTTCCTTCCCACTCACATGTAGGTCACCTACGGGAGCAGGGGAGGAACCATCTGAGGTTTTTTTTTTTTTTTAGGTTTTTCATTGCTGAGAACAGTTCCAGCTCTGCTGACCAAAGGGCTGAGCGTCCTTTTGTTAGTCTGACCCCGTAGGGAGCCCAAAGAGGCAACCCTCCGGCCAACTGACAGCCAGCTGTGGGGTTGGACACCCTGTTTTCCACACCACTGAGCACTCTTGAACCCAGAGAAGGTGCAGGTTAGAGATGCAGCTATATACTTCTGTACCATGAGAGAGACCTTTGTGTATGTTTGGAATAAAAATTTTTAGCATTAGTGATTCAGTTTTTTGTGTCTAAATACAAATGTCCAGGAGAATAGGAACACCATAGTGGTCAGCTAAGAGCAAGCAGTTAGTTTAGTGTATGACAAGTATCTCATTATAAATGGATGCTGAAACGCCCAAGCGTGGAAATGATACGCTTCTGCTTTTATTTTTAAGTCATCCTTATAATATCTCTTTCCCTTATTCCCTCATTCAGGCACAAAAATGCTGTTTGATTGGGAGAGCAAGTGGAGCTGTTAAAAGTTCTAGGGACGGTCGGGCATGGTGGCTCATGTCTGTAATCCCAGCACTTTGGGAGGCTGAGGCAGGTGGATCACAAGGTGAGGAGTTTGAGACCAGCCTGGCCAACATGGTGAAACCCCGTCGCTACTAAAAATACAAAAATTAGCTGGGCGTGGGGGCAGGTACCTGTAATCCCAGCTACTCGGGAAGTTGAGGCAGGAGAATCATTTGAACCCAGGAGGCGGAGGTTGCAGTGAGCCAAGATTGCACCACTGCACTCCAGCCTGGGTGACAGAGCGAGACTCTGTCTCCCAAAAAAAAAAAAAAAAGTTCGAAACCAGTGGATCCTGCCGATAAACATCATCCAGACAGAAGGAAGCTGAGCGCCAATGGTTTAGAGACTCAGCACCAGACTGGAGAGAGAGAGAGTGTGTGTATGTGTGTATGTGTGTGTGTCTGTATGTGTGTGCGCGGGCGCATTGGTGTGTAGGTGGGCTTGAGAAAAGTGCTGACTTTGTGAACAAGGAGGAGGGAAAAGGGCCCAGAGCAGTAAAGAGCCTGTAAATAAATTTATCCCAGCCTCAGCCCCATGCATTCACTTGAGATTCCTCATCCAACCCTGACGGCTTCCCTGCAGGACATATTCTACCCCCTCACAGATAGGAAGCCTTGCCCAATGTGATTACATCAGGAAGTAAGATTTCAAATCTCAATGTGCCTAATGCCAAAACTGTACCTCTTGCCACTCAACATCTGCAGTCAAAGGCTCCCCGACTCAGGATTTGCTGGGGTCTGGCTCTGGGCTATTGGAATTAGATGCATGAGACCCTTTCCATCTAAACCTTAAGTGTTTTGCCTGTTGGACAGATGCCTGGTTGTCCCGTTAATCCGTTGTCCAAAAAGCCTGAGGAAGGATGGCAGGTGGACTTGGATCTCGGCCACTACCTTAGATCCTGATCAGGGGACCTCTGCGACTGCTCACCTGGGAGGAACTCCAGGAGCTCTGATGTGTTGTCCTTGACTGGGCAAGAAGGGGAGGAGAATTGTGAAACATGCAGAATTAGAAGTCATGCACCTGGGTTTGTATCCTGGCTGTGCCACTTATTTTCTGGTGGGTGGAGAGGGCAGACAAGTTGCTCATCCTCTGTACACCTCAGTTTCTTCATGTGCAAAATGAAGATGTTAGTTGTTTCTTTATTCAAGGGTTGTTGAGAGGACGAAGTGCTAAAAATGCTTGAACAGCATTTGCACAGGCAGTAACACAGGAAGTGCTCCCTACTTAGCGTGGACAACATCATCTCCGTCCACATCAGTGTTATCATCGTCGTCATGAAAAGCCCTGGCCATCATTTTGCCTTTGACCCGGATGTCCATGTTGGAAAAACAGCTAGTGGAAGGCATGCCCAAATCTCAGAAGTTGGCCTTTCCGTGCAGATGTCATTGGTGGCCATTGTAGGGGAAAAAGATGCTTTGGAAACCCGGACACAGAGAAAAGTACCTCGTATTACACAGAGTCAAGAGAGGTCACTGTGGAAGTACAGAAGAAGCCTTGGCCTAATTGCACGGATAATACAATTCCGTAACTCATCCTGCCAACACGAAGGTAGATGGACGATCCCTATCCTCGCTGTGGAACATTGCCCGTGTTTTCCTAGGAGAGACATCTGCACTCCAGTAGTGATTAAAATGCCTTTGACAGGCTCTTGCTATTAAGAGTTTCTGGCTCCAGTTTAATAAAAGGTAGTATATTATAATGGAAACCAGGTTATTATTGATAAGGACTAGACATATTATAAACCAGGTTAAAGCTTTGATAATCCCACATGCAAGGGGAGGGAGCTAAGGGTTATTGCAAACCTACTATGTGTCAATTGCTCTAGTAGACACCTCAGAGACATTACAGCCAAAGAGTCCCACCTTTGGATAAACCCAGTTTGGCCTCTCTGATATATTAATATATTTAATCATCAGACTTTCAGTGTTAAAGGAGATTACAGTAGAGGCGTCCAGTTGATTGGGGAATAGTTGCTGCGAATGATAAGCTCTTTTGAATAAACCGATACTGACTTAATGAGGTTCTGCTGTGTATTATCTTTTTTTCCTAATAGAAAATAGAGTGGCTACCCTCCCCATCCGCTGTTTGCTTCCTGGTAATGACCCTCTTTTCTCTCACTCCATGGGAACTTTTAAAATTGATAAGTAATGGATTTTTAGCCTCAAGTTTCTGGAATTCTAAGAGGGCCTGAAAGGTAAGTGCTCACTTACCGAGATGTGTGAACAAAAACAGGCAGCCTAGCTCAGCAAGTAAGAATGGAGTGGCATCTCCCCGCCTGCTCTGGAGTCATGCGTTTGCTTCTGGAAGGGCATCAAGAGGCATTCAACCTCCTGTTAATTTGGTTGCTTCTTCAGATACCCTCTTCATGGTGCAGCCCTGAGCTGGAACATTTAAAGACCAGTTGTTAAGGACCAATCTGAGAGCCTGTGCATTGGTTAAAACTCCTTATCTGGCCATAGAGGGTGGTGTGGTTTGGACGCGTTCCCCTTGTCTGTCCAATTCCCAACAGAGGCAAGTGCACATCTGAGACAGGTTGAGGGTTCAAGCTGTCCAATCCCTGCTCATCTGCAGCACACCCAGGAACGTGGACTAATGAAAAATAAATTGCACGCCTGACATGCCCATCACGCTGCCCGCATTTTCTAATCATCACAATAACTCTGTGGTGAGAAATATTTCTGCCTGTAATCCCGGCACTTTGGGAGGCTGAAGTGGGCGGATCACTGGAGGTCAGGAGTTCGAGACCAGCCTGGCCAACATGGTGAACTCCCCGCCACCAACGCCCCTCCCCATCATCTCTACTAAAAATACAAAAAATAGCTGGGCATGGTGGAGGGCACTTATAATCCCAGCTACTTGGGAGGCTGAAGCAGGAGAATCTCTTGAACCCAGGAGGCGGAGGTTGCAGTCAGCTGAGACAGCGCCACTGCGTTGCAGCCTGGGCAACGAGAGTGAAACTCTGTCTCAAAAAAAAAAAGTTCCTGCCCCTACGTTACAGATGAGGCTTTTAAAGATACCCAGCCACTGGTCCACAGTGATGTGACTCATCAGTGGTCCACCTGACATAGGAAATTCGGTTGCTTTGGAAATTTTGGTTCTACCACATCACCTTTCCTTACTCCCTGACATCATTCCCAGATCAAAGAAAGGTAAAAGAAGGAAGGACTGGAGACATTGTTTTCCTGTATGCTCCTTGATAAAGGGCTCAGAGCTAAGCACAGAGTAGGTGCTTAAGCCCTTCTGTTTGAAAGGAACTTTAAACATCTTTGGCAGCAGCTAAGAGTGTCAAAATAGAGTGATGTGTAGGGGACCTAGGGCCTGGGTAACATTGTCCCGGCCCAGGGCCTACTGTGGTGTGTGTGTGTCTCTACCTTCCAGTCTTTAGGAACGCGGAGAGGGGACCTCTGTAATTGGTACCAGCATCCATGAGCATGGAGGACTTTGCTTCCTTGCAGGGTCAGTCCTTCCTCTGAGTAGGGGGCAGGGGTCTCCATGCCGTCTTCCACTAGGTAGGCCCAGAATCACTTTCAACTTGGTCACCTGTCTGTGCAGTGTTTTGAGTTCTTCCCTGGGAAACTTGCTCACATCATCCACTTCTCTCTAGGTTCTCCGTACGGCTTTCCCGACTCCAAGCTAAGCTCTTCTGTTAGTTATTCTAGTAACTGTCCAATATCAGGCACTACCCTCAGCACTGTTTCCCATGGCAATTATTTTACATGACAGTTTAAAAAACAGGAACATTCTATTTGTATTCGCATTTTGCCCACAAGCCAATGAAGGCTCGGAGGGGTTGAATGGCCCAAGTTTTGTTAAGTGGCCAGGGGCAGAGTCAGGAGCTGAACCCAAGACATAGGCCGAGGAGTCTGTGTTTGTTCTTTAAACCCCGCGATTCAGTCGCCCAGCTCTTTTCATTCCCTGTCCTTTCCGCCCTCTGGCTGGGTCTGTCTTTCCTATCCCTACCACTTTCCACCACCATTTTTTTGTTTGTTTGTTTCCTCTGCAAGCAGCATCTGAAAGGCTCAGACCCAGCCTGTCGGCCTTGGACTCTGATAAGATCTCTCTGTGCTCCTTTTGTCTGGGCTGTACCTGCCTTTTCTGGATGACCCTGTTAATTGCAATTGACTCTCATAGAATGTGGGTAGCAGTGCCCCTTGACACCAGACTAATGCTTCTGACTTTTCCACCATGCCCCAGCAGCAGGCTTGAGGGAAGGGCGGGGGTGGTCAGAGGAGAGATAGAGCACTTCAGATTCCAATCAAATACTTCAGAGCATGAGAGCTTTTCTCTTTATCAGGGCGCTGTCTCTCTCCAGGTTGGGAGGAGATGTGGCATTTCTAGGAATTCACAGTAAAATCAGAAATAATTAGGAGATTTCACAGTTGTCGCTCCTGTGAAAACTGAGGAATTTTTTTTTTTTTTCTCCTATTTCCAAGCTTTAGTCCTAGGCATGGAAAAATAACTTTGAAGAAAACCCGAGAGATACGAGTAAAAAACAGCTCCTCTGGGGAGGTGGTAGTCGGGGCTTAATTTCCTAAAGGCTTCCTGGGTATCAGGGCTGCTTTCCTTTATAATCTTTTACCAGTCCTGTGGGGGAGGAACAGAAACCCACTTGAGGGGTAGAAAAGCTGAGGGCAAAGGATCAGCCTGCTGTCCAATACTGGGACGTTATATTGTTCTTTTTGGGCAGGGTGGAAACTTGGAACCAAGAGCGTGTTCACTTTGGAAGACTCGACTCCCAGGATGTACAAAGGACCTCTGCATGTGCGCAAAGCCATGGTGGCCCGGGCGGCAGTGACAAGTACAGGGAAGTGACCCAAGCTGGGTCATTCCTTACGAGGAGACTGGCACCTGGGCTCACACCTTGCCGTATATGACTTCATGGGAACCTCACAACAGACCTGTGGGCTCAGAATTACTCTCTCGCTTTGCAGTCGAGGAAAGGGAAGTGCACGGAAGGGAAATAAGAGTGTTTGAGATCCCAAAGCGGATTCATTACTGTACTAAGAGTAAACCCAGAGTTGCCTCTGGAGGACCTGGTGGTGGGTGGGATGGAGAGAGAGGCCTCCCCCGCCCCCCAGACTCCAGGGGCACGGATTGGCTCTTTTTAAAATTAATTTTTATTTTATTATTTATTTATTTATTTATTTTCCAGACAGAGTTTCACTCTTGTTGCCCAGGCTGGGGTGCGATGGCGCGATCTTTGCTCACTGCAACCTCTGCCTCCCGGGTTCAAGTGATTCTCCTGCCTCAGCCTCTGGAGTAGCTGGGATTATGGGTGCCCGCCACCATGCCCAGCTAATTATTTGTCTTTTTTAGTAGAGACAGGGTTTCACGATGTTGGCCAGGCTGGCCTCCTGACATCAGGTGATACACCCACCCCAGCCTCCTAAAGTGCTGGAATTACCGGTGTGAGCCACCAGGCTAGGCCCAGCGTGGCTTCAGCGTGAGGATGAGGACTACTAGGAAGATAGAGTGGTGATCTCATGTCAACTGTGGAGGGAGTAGGAGGCAGGCGTTTGGGGATCACAGCTGGTTTCCTTTTTAAATCCCACACGGTGCTGGCGTATTTTCACAGCCTGTGACCACTCAGATAGGAAAGTGACACAGCAACGCCAGGCGGATTCATTTTCCTTTAGATGAGGGGTTCACAATAGAAACACAAAGCATTGAGTATTGAGAAGAAATGGATCTTCAGGATTGGAGGGAGGCCGATAGAGAGTCTCTGGCATTGCCAATGTCCTCTCTTTGGGTCATGCGTGTGTGTTTGTGTGTGTGTGTGTGTGTGTGTGTGTGTGCGCGCGCGCGCGCGCCTGTGGTGATTTTTAACAAACGAATGGATACTATTGAAGGAATGTTCCACTTCAAAATCCCAATCTCTGACTTCCCTTGAAAGTTTGGAGTGCCACTCAAGTCGGCCGCTCTGGGCTAGAATCGTGGTGTTCAGAATTGGCAGGAAGGGCACAGGGGCGAGGTATAGGCTCAGTCTCCACATTCTGCACCTCGCCAGCTCCGGCCATTGATGTGACCTGATTCCTGTACTGCAATGAAGCAGGGGTTTGCATCAGAAAGAACCACCAGTGCTTAATACCTAGGTGATAGGCTCATCTGTGCAGCAAACCACCATGGCACACGTTTACCTACGTAACAAACGTGCACATAAAACACATAGTTCCCTGGAACTTAAAAGTTGGTGAAAGAAAGAAGGAAAGAAAGAAAGAAGGGGCTGGGCGCGGTGGTTCACGCCTGTAATCCTAGCATTTTGGGAGTCCGAGGCAGGCAGATTGCCTGAGCTCAGGAGTTGAAGACCAGCCTGGGCAACATGGTAAAACCTCGTCTCTACTAAAATACAAAAAATTAGCTGGGCATGGCAGTGTGCACCTGTAATCCCAGCTACGTGGAAGGGTGAGGCAGGAGAATTGCTTGAACCTGGGAAGCAGAGGTTGCCGTGAGCCGAGATCGTGCCACTACATTCCAGCCTGGGTGACACAGTGAGATTCTCTCCAAAAAAAAAAAAAAAGAAAAACAAAGGAAGGGCAGATGGAAGGAAGGAAAAGGGAAAGGAAAGGAACCAGCTGCGAAACTTGTCCTAACTGAGCATTACTGTAACATAGAACAGCTGAAACACTCCATTGAAGCTGAGAGAAGGGTTTGGGAGAGAAGCAGGCTGTGGTTGTGAACAGGTGCCTCCTCCAAAAAAATTCTCTTCCTTGGATTTCAGAATGACCCCCATTGAGAACAAAGCCTTTCACGCTGTGTTTATTTTTTTTCAGGTCTAAGTTTCCCCCAGGAGATTTTTTTTTCTAAAGGAAAAGGCAGAGAAGCCCCCAAACCAGAGCCACAATCGAATGCAAATATGACAATAGGACCCATCCTGGAGAGAAAAAGGCTCCTTTTTAATTAGAAGCCTGGAAGGGCATACCTTTTAATTGCTGCAGTTGTAGTGTCAGGGCTATCAATATCCGTGGCTCTTTCATTAATAAACTGGCAAGTCAGAAAGCAGCAGGAGTGGGAACCCCTCCCCACCCAATCCCCTCTCCCACCCCAAGCTCTATTTAATCAACTGCAGACTCAATCAAATGGGGAAAAGAACATGTAAATCAGCCACATTCATTCTGCCGGCCCTAAATAGGTAGAAGGAAGGGAAACATGAAAGGGAGCCTTCATCCGTTTCCCTGCAGATGCCCGGCTCGTGGTTAACCCAAGCAAGAGGTAGTTAAACGGCCCCGCAGATTGCGAGCGACTCCGGGAATGCCTAGGTTTATGTATGGATTAACACAGTGATAGACCCTGAGTAGCAAAAGACGAAGACTAATTACCTGACAGAGCTCCCCTCCACTTGCCTGGGTCATTGAAATTAATTTCTGCTTTCAAGCTTGGCAGAAAGCAGCTGCAGAATTTCAGTTCAATACTCAAATTAACGGGGAGCCGAAATTATTTCTCTGCACAGGCGGTATTAGAGGAGTGGGTTACCAAATAGATCTTGATCGCAGACACGGAAAAAATGATTATTCCTCCCTTTTCATCAAGAGCCGTAAGTCCTTGGAAAACGCAAAGAGGGAAGAAAAGAAGAAAAACAACCACCAATTTATTGGAGAGTTAACACTTAAATACTCTAGTACATTGAAAGTGACATGCCTGTGTAGGAGACTGTCTGTCCCGCACATAATTGACAATTTCTCTCCATTTAACAGGAAAATATATGGCATTTTTATATATACTTGAATTGGGATTCCTAAGCCAGAGATAATTTGTGAATATCCATTCTATAGCATCCTGTGTTGTCAAGAAGGTGTTGACTTATTTCAAGGTTAAGGAAATGGGTGGGGAATGCAGGGAGGAGGTGGAGGATAGAGGAGGATTGGACTA